TATACTGGATACCCTTCAAACCCGAACCCAGCAGTACACGCACTGCTACTTGGTGACAGAAATGGGTGGTACCTATTAAGAAGGTACTCCAAGGCAGAAGTAGAGTCCTACCAATTTGAGTGTAAAAATTGAATATGACAAATATATACATGCTCTATAATAAGCCATATTCAGCAAGGCTAGAATAAGAATGAGAAGCAAGGCTTCAGTGCTGGCGGTGACACGTATGGCTTGGCCTAGTGTTTCCCCCTACGACTTACGTATTACAATACGTGGTAGAACCACGCTGCAGCTATATTATGGTACGACACTCTCTTGAGTGTAGAGAACCGGAGACCCTTTGTACCGGAAACGAGGCATTTCATAATAGTCCTCAGGGGTAACAAAATATCTGCATTTTGACTCTTAATCGAGGATAAATGAAGATGCCTATGGGCCACGGCCATACACTTACCATCAGTTGGACTGTGTTCTCGTTTGTTGCCCTAATTCTGAAAATACTTCACTGAGGCCTTACCCTTACAGTGCCCTGAAGGGGGCCGCTCAAAATGTATGCTTAACGCGCTGCTTCGCCTTACGCGCCTCCCAACGCTCTCCACTCAGCTTTGCGATTATTGTAATGTAGTGTAGTCCACACGACAAATTGTTTTAGTATTCAAGGAACCAATTAAAGTCAAAGAAAGGCCACACGTTTAACACCACCTTCCTACATTAGATTGCGTATAAACTTGAAACGACAAAACGAAGTCACGATTTCCATTCCCAGAGTGACACAATCGCACTGCAGACCTTGGCTATTGTATGTAGATAGTTAAGATGTCACTAAGTTATCAAACAATATACAAATCTGAGTGTGATACTCGCGCGTTGACATTAATTTAATTTGTTTGTTCCCGCTTGTTCGGCCTCGCCGGGGACTTATCGTCTTTCCCCTTTCCTTGATAACTCGCCCGAATCGGGAGTTAGATAGCAAACATTTACTTATAGTCGTTTTTTTTAACAAAACGTTTCCGTAACCAAGATCGGAATCACACAAATTGTTATATAGAAACAAACTTGTTTCTCAGGCTACTAATTTTTTTGTAAAACACTTAAGTCTGTTTAATTGTCTTTAACTATAGTTTTCTTTTTATTTATTTTTTTTGTACTGAATAGTAGTAGTGCTGTTATCACTACTAATGATCGGTTTACATTATCTTGGAAAGTGCGAGAGTTATTCGAGGACATTAGTAGAACAGTTGCGTAAAGTGATAAGTAGTGCTCGTTTTAGTGTGGTACTACTTGTCTTTTTGCTAATAGATTTTTTTTATTTATTTATTTTTTAAAACGTTACCCCCACACTAGAATTTTCTCCTGTGTCGTGGAGGCAGTTTACAAACATAAATTGCACGAGGACAAACATCCAGACCCGGAACAATTATTTGTAGGCCATACAAATACTTGTTCCGTGCGGGATTCGAACCTGCGGCCCCCAGCGCAACAACTGATTGCTAAGCCACTGCGCCACGGAGCAATCAAATTTGCTCTTTTATTGTATCTAGTAACACTAAATTTTTCTCTATTGTCGCAGGGTCATTAAAAAATCAAAATGTTAAATGCCTGTACAAAAGAATTTACTTCTATTATATTCATAAGGTGATATTGTAAAATTTTTCAATGCTATTAAGAAAACCGCAGACATGGTGGCAGCTGATATAAGTTATTAAGTCTATACTAGATGCAATCGCAACCCAACTTGCTATTATTGAATCGTGTGTGTTTTTTGATTTAATGAAATATAGTAAAGTCATACCTTTACTTAAATCTTTAAAATTAGCCCCTCCTAATTTTAGAACCATTTCTATACCTAGTGTACCAACACAACAAAATTTTTGAAAAAATAATTTAGATCAAATGTTAATGTTTTTTTTAATGTAAGTGATTTACTTCATAAAAATCAATTTAAGTTGACAAGGGATCGCCCGACAACAACGTCGGGGTTGAGCTGATTAAACAAATTTTCTGTACATGGGAGAATACAAAAGACGCTTTACAATATTTTGTAATCATTCCAAGGCCTTCGACTGTGTTCACCATCAGTAAGGAAAACAGCGCATAAATTGTCTAATATTTAAGTAATAGAACGCAAACAGTTGTTATTAACGGCAGCAGTTCATCCGATTCGGTGGTATCATTGGTTGTTCCTCAGGGCTAAATTCTTGGTCCCTTCCTGTTCTTAGTTTATATTAATGACTTATATTACCTGGTATAGTATAACCATGATATACTTTTATTTACTGATGATACTGTGTTGTTCAGACTTAAATGGCAAGTATACTATGAAATAAATAGTGTTGTACAAAATTAGTACAGTACAAAATTAGTTGTTATTACGACAACAATGTGCTTTTGATTGATAATAAAACGAAATATACTAAATTCTCAACACCCATGTCAAACACGTGAATGCTGATGTGTTTCTTAATAGGGTCGAGCTGAATCGGGTTGAATCCACTGTTATGCTCGAACTTACAGTTGACGCGAAGCTCAGTGTCCCCCATATATTTAAACTAGCTTGTAAACTTAGTTCTGCAGCGTGTGCTGTAAAAAACAACATTAGAAGCCTTACTTGTGTTGAAACAGCTAGATTAGTTTATTTTAGTTATTTCTATAGCATATTGTCGTTTGGAATCTTTCTATTGGGTATCGCAATTAACATTGAAACTACGTATCTTTGTTTTGTAGAAGAGAGTCATATCCCGTTACTGTTACAACCTATTAAAGTACACTGCTAACTTTAGTCTATAGACCTCCATAATAGATTGCCTCATGTGGGGGGGGGGGGGGAGGTATCAAGCGGTTAGCAACTGCAGTTTTTTGTTTTTTGTCGTTATTAGGAAGACGCTGCTACCCATCTCCTCATTTGTTTCCTTCTGTCGGCTGGACACCCACAGGATGATATGGGGTAGTGGATATTCTACCGCCACTACTCTGTACCTACTAACCACATGGTACTAGCTATTCGCTGTAAGCTAAATGGACAATTTAGTAACAATTTTAGTGGAGTGCATTTGTGAATGACGGAGGACGCGTTATTCTCATTGAACTGGTGACGAAATGACCCTGTACTTGACGAACTGTAAACGCTCACAGTGAACGCACCTATACCACTAAAACACACGCGTTCGAGTACTAATGAGTACATTAGTAGCACTCGGACTCGGAACGCGAGTGTTTGTAATGCACTAAGATAATGTAAACTGGCCATAATACTCTCCTTAACTAATTCAACTAAGTTTATAATGCTGGTGAGAGGAGTGGTTCATAACAGTAGTTGAATGGCACATTCGAACCTTATGTAATTTGCAGTCCGTATCAATTAAACATTAGGATACTGTAGTTTTTTTATACGAGTAAGGATGACAAATTATGTAGTATACAACGACCTGTTGGTGATTGGATGTTTGACTAATAAGATGTGTGAGATGGTGCCATATGTTTGATATTGGCTGCAAGTTTTGTTGCACTGCAGGCTACCTACCATTAAGTTGATAAAAAAATGCCACCATTTCATAAACTGTCTCACCTGAAGATGTGGACATTATGCTATATTCTTCTAACTTCATAGGTAGTATACGTGTAGGTTTTGTACGTGGTAGAGCCATGCTGCAGCTATATTAGTAGGTAGTATAGTTGTAGCACGAACGTAGTCGACTCGACCAGGGAAGGACTACGCTCTACAGAATATCAGCGTTAAATAGTAGCTCAATGCTGCTGTGTTTCGTATGGTGACTGTAGAGAACCGGAGACTCTTTTTACTGGAAAAGAGGCATTCCATCTTAGTCCTCACGGGCGACAACGCATTTGCATTTTGAGTCTTTATTGTGGATAGATGTAGATGTCCATGGGTCACTGCAGAATTTTCTCCTGTATTGTTTACATATATAAATTTGTCAAGGACAAACGTCCAGACTCGGAACAATTATTTGTAGGCCTTACAAATACTTGTTCTGTGCGTGATTCGAATTTGCGGACTTTACCAACTCATTGATAAGTCACTGCGCTACGGAGCCGCTAAAAATGATAATGAGGCGTATATAATTTTGAGTTAATGGTGCTATTAAAGTTTAGTCATCGCGGTTTAAAGCTGGCTCTACTCCTAAAAATACTGCTAAAATATAATAAAATTAAAATAAATATCGATTGAAGTTACCTAATGTGCGCTCGACGCAAAAATATTTCAGCAAGTGCAAATAAGCACTTTTCCGAGCGATAAAAATAATATCTTCCCACGCAGTACAGCCCTTCCCTGTCTTCCCACGTCTGACTTCTCCACACGGGTACAATGAAAAACTAAATAGAAGTATTTGTGATTTAGATACATACATAGTGTTCTAGTTTTCAAATCACAAAAAGCAAGCTGAAGTTTCACCAAGTAACAACAATCGAAAGTATAGATTATACAGTAAATAAACGTCTTATAATTTCTGTTCCACGCTTTCTAAGGAAAAATATTTTTTTAATTAAAGTTTCAAAAGTATATTTCAAAAGACTACGACGGCGAATTGAGATGGATTGATATTTTATTTGGAATTGTATGTGTATTGTGTAATTATAGTTTAACGTTTAAAACGAAAAAATTTAACATGATTGTTATAAAAAAGAACAAACAATCGAATTGTTAACCGCCTCCTTTTTTTCTACCGACTTCAAAAAGGAGAAGGTACTCAATTCGACTGTATGTTCTTTTTTGTAACAACATAATGCTGTCAATTTTTTTTCGTTTCTATTTCGATGATTCTTTTTTTATATTTGAAAGCTGGTGCTTCTCATGTGGTCCCATATACATTTGATCAAGGCCTGACCAATAGTTTTTGTGTCATCCTTAATAATTTATATTGAAGTCAGTTGTACAAAATTTTTAATTTTAATATATTGGAATCGGTTAAAAAGCGAGTTACTTCTCCCTCTTACGAATAAGAAAATTTGCAAGCATCTTTGACGGAATCTCTCTCTTGCAGGTTCACCCCGAAAACCCAGAATGGACCTGCTTCGAACAGAGTGCTCTTCTCGACGTTAAGAATTTCTTTGGACTCGAGAGCACGGTCGAGAAGATCGCTATGAAGCAATACTCGGCTAACATTGCTAAAGGTAACTGCAGCTCTTTGACACTAACCGTGAAGTTTTGAAAAATATCTGAATGAAAAATTATGAAGTTTCCTGAAAATGTTTCAATTTATAAAACATTTCTAGGAAAGGAACTGATCGAGTCCTTTATGGATGAAGTCCTAGCTGACGGCGTTCGTGATCTTAAACCTTGGGAGGCTGGACAGCATGCGCGCAACCGAGAATTGCGTCGGGTGGTGTCCCGCGGGACTGAACCGTTGTCTCCTCTAGCCGCTCCCGACTCACAGAGACACTCGCAACCAGGTAAGGGTGACCCACGTCATTTTACAATTTTATTATCAGCTTTCTGCCACTGGTATTACCACTCAAAAATGAGTACCGATTAACGACCTATGCCTCAACCACTCTGATAAAGTTTCCGAACATCTTTGCATTCAATGCACCGTATTTGCTTCATCGTGTAATTGTTCGTATTAATTTCTGTCGAACGCACATCGCGACAAAACTCACGATACCATTCACGCGATCTGGAAGCTTGCAAGGAAAACGCCTCGCTTTTGTTTATCACCAATCGTGAGCAGAATTCGTCATCCGCAGGCATCAATGAAATTGTTAACTGCAATTTTCTACGCCGACTTACCACGGTATGTTGTAAAGGAAAACGTCGTGGAGAAACCTACATGTCTAAAGTGTTTGATAAATTTTGAGAAGTCCACAAACGCGTTTGAGGCAGCGCAAAAGCATATTTTCTGCTCTAAAACCATCTCAGAAATGAGAGGCGCTTGTGTTCAGTTCGACAGTAATTATGTTTATAATGCGTCTGTTTTTCCGTCCGAATACTATCTGCGCTACAAACCTTTAAGGCTTTTGTTACGCTAAGACAGTGCGATTTACCACCTAAGGCTTCATCACCAAACTGTTCTCTCTATTTCTTATTTCTTAAAATTTTTCTCAACTCTTCCTTTTCTCTTTTTTAGGGTTCCGTACCTGAAAAGAAAAAAACGGAACCCTTATAGGATCACTTTGTCTGTCTGTCTGTCTGTCTGTCTGTCAAGACCCTTTTTCTGAGGAACGCGTGGAGGTATCAAGCTGAAATTCATATCAAATACTCAAGTCTACTGTCCCTTAGAGCTATTTATGCCGTAAATTTTCGACATTCGCAAGGGTATCAAAACCTACAGGGTACTTCCCGTGAACTGAGAATCTTGAAATTTGGTACCAAGCAAAGTTTTATAGCACAGATAAAGGAAAAATTGCGAAAAGCATAAATTTTTAGTTATATCATATAATAAAAATATTTTTAATAATTTTAAACTTATAAACCTACAGATTTGTTCGGAAACCTCGGTGCGCGAGTCCAATTCGCACTTTGCAGGGTTTTTTTGACTCAATTCAAACTGATTATAATTATCATGAAAAATTGACGTAATCACACGTATTTTCTGTTTCCTCCAGATTGTGATTCATGTTTTTTTTTTATAGAATAAGAGTCACAAACGAGCACACAGCCCACCTGATGGCAAGTGAATACTGTGGCCTATTAACAGTTACATCTATCCTCGGTTAAGAATCTAAATGCAGATGCGTTGTCACCCCTGAGGACTTGAATGAGGCTGCAGCATGGCTCTACTACGTAAAAAAATATATTTGCTGGATGTCTAATAACTGCAGTTTTAGTAATTTTAGAGCTTCCCGATTTTTAAAATAATTAATTTATGAAAAAAATAAAGAAAACATAGGGTCATGACAGTATATATGTATAAGTAAATAGGCAAAATATTTGTTCGAGTGTTTTTATTCAACGAAAAGTAAGAAGAATACGTTTTTATGGACTAAATATTGCCCAGGTTCTCCTCTTAGCCTGCTTGAAAAAAAAATATTTTTGCACTGACATATTTTTTTTATAGGAAAGGGTGACAAACGAGCACACAGACCACGTGATGGTAAGTGGTTGCTGCGGCCCATAGAAACCTACATCTATCCTCAATAAAGAATCAAATGCAGATGCGTTGTCACCCGTGAGGACTAAGATGGAATGCCTCTTCTCCAGTAAAAAGGGTCTCCGGTTCACTACACTCACCATACGAATCACAGCAGTGTTAAGCTGCTTTTTTACGCTGGTATTCTGTGAGAGCGTGGTCCTTCCCCGGTCGAGCCGACCCATTAGTGCTACAACTATACTACTAATATACAGCATGGCTCTACCACGTACAACGTTTTTAGCATAGAATATAACCATCATCATAATCTTCATTACAGCCCTACACAAGTCCACAGCTGAACACAGGCCTCCCCCAATTAATGCCACAAAGCACTGTCCTGAGCCATCTGCATCAGTTGACTTCCTGCATGTCTTACCAGGTCGTCATCCATCTAGTGGGGGGTCGCCCTACACTTACATGTGCCTACCGGTACGAGGCCGCCACTCGAGAACCTTTCTTCCCCATCGGTTGTCGGTTCTTCGAGCTATATGATCGGCCCATTGCCACTTCAGCTTATTAATCCGTTGGGCTATGTCCGTCACTCTGGTTCTACAGCGGATATCCGCATTTCTAAGTTTCTCTGCGTGATGGAATAGAATAGAATAGAATAATTTTTATTCAATATTATAGATCATAAAAATGTATGTACTTCTTATTGAAAGTCATTTTATACCACTGGTTCGGAAAAAAAACCTTTCTGTTATCTATATTTCATTTATTTAAAATTTTTATTGTACTTAAAGTGTACAATTGGCGGACTTAATGCCTTTAGGCATTCTCTACCAGTCAACCAAGAGCTAAGCAGAGAAAGAACTTAAGCAGGTGCCATAAAAACATGAGAATATCTTCTATACGTGAATATAAATATAAAAATATACATACCATACTTTACACATGTAAATACAAAAATAAATATATATAACTACTAATAATCTAAATAATATACAATATGTATGATATGTATACCTGATACATATCATACATATTTTTTTATTTAATACATACATTTTAAGCATACTTATATACGAACATATTATACAAAAACAACTTATTTATAATATCGAGCCACACATAAGCAGAAACATTTAAATAAGAAAGTTATTTGCTGGAAGAAGAAAGGTTGTGATCAGTCACCATTCTCTTAAAGTCTGCAACAGAACTCTGTTTCTAAAACAAGTGTTCGCACCAACATCGTCTCGATTGGAAGGAAATTCTTGAAACGATAAAAGCAACGCAGAGTGATTGTCACTCTCCGATATATCCTATACTCTAGATTCAATACATAATTAAGGAATTCGATTCTTGATTATCTATAAATTAGAATAAAAATTAAAAACTTGATTCGTGATTTATACTTATATATTACTATGTTAACATTTGAGTAATGTTCAAGCTATTTAACGTTTGTGTACAATGTGTATATTTCTATAATATTAAAGTTACAGACGAAGTTACAGTTAACCTGATGCTAACTGACTAATGCAGCCTAAGCACTGCTTCAAACATCAAACAAAAAAATCCGCAAAAGCGTTGTCTTGCATTATTAGATGAAATTCCTCATAGCCTGTAATCATTGGCTCTCTCACACTACAAAAACAAAACACAGCTGTGTATGAACCCATAACTTGAACTACTATACACCCGAATCCGTGCTCCTTTTATCGAGCTCATTCGGTCGGCTCGTGAAAGTGGATCGCTCTCAGTGTCGTAGTCATTGACGTAGTTTTACGCGACGTGACGTGAATACCTTAGGAGTATGTTTACTCTTGTTATTTTTTGTCTTTTTTTCGATTTAAGAATTGAAATTTCGTTTTAATATTTTTTTTTTCATAGAAAAAGAGTGATTAGCGAGTACACACAGCCCACTTTATGGTAACTGCATGCTGTGGGCCATAGACATCTATATCTATCCTCGATTAAAAATCAAAATGCAGATGCATTGTCACCCGTGAGGACTAAGATGGAATGAATCGTATCCAGTAGAAAGGGTCTCCGGTTCTCTACACTCAAGAGAGTGTCGTACCATAATATTCTGTGAGCGCGTGATCTTTCCCCGGTCGGGCAAATTCATTCGTGCTAAAACTATAATATAGCCGCAGTACGGCTCTACCAAGTATAAATTTTAAATACGTCATTTTTAAATATTAACTACAGTTTTTTTTAAAAGACTTCTTGATACTAGTAACACTTTATACATTACTAATATTTTTAGTAGAAAAAAACATGCGTGAGTGTCGTGGAACATTTGGTTAGAACGAAGTCCCTTATTATTGATAAAAGTATTATATTATTGATTAACAAATACAAATAAATGTATTACTAACGTCTATTAAAATGAAGCGTCATTTAAAATAAAATACACTATGACACAAGGGGTAGTGACGAAAAAAATCTTACACTTTTTGTCCCCTAGCTCCCATCCGCCACATTTTAGTTAATATACGCGATAAAATCCGTAAAAAAATAGTTTTATTATAAGGTGTAGTTTTAGCGTAAACATAAGAAATCGTTATGTTAACCAATACGAACTACAAATCGAAGCATTCCATCTTAGTCCTCAGGGGTGACAGCGCATCTGCATTTTGATTTTAATTGAGTATATAGTTGTAGATGTCTATGAGCCACAGTATCCACTTATCATCATGTGTACTGTGTGCTCGTTTGTCACTCTTAATCTATAAAAACTACCACGATAATATCCGCAAAAATTAGTTTCCTTTAAAGGAGTAGTAAATAATATGTCCGACAACTGTTCGGTAATGTGACGCACCGACAGAATAACAGCGTTGCGGCCGTCCTACGGCATCATGTCGAGTCAGATGTGTTTTCGTTGCTGCAATCCAATGTATTTGTGTATTTCTTTTTTGTTTGATTACCACTGACTCACTTGATTGACTTTAAATTTGGCATATAACCTCCTTTTACGACGTAGACACTCACTAAGAAAGGATTTTGGAAAATTCAATCCCTGAGAGGTGAAATAGGGTTTTACAGCTTGTTTTTTTATATTATTGAGTCCGATGAAGCTGTGAAAGGCAACTGACTAATATTACCAACATCACAGAAACTAGATGATTGTGTTATAAATTGTATATGCAGTCGAAATCAATTAAATACGCATTATTAAGGATAACTCAAAAACTATTGGTCAGATCTTGATCAAGTTTATATGGAATCACGTGAGAAGCACCAGCATTCAAATAGAAAAAAGAATACAAAATCGGTTCACCTAGAAAAAAGTTCTGAGGTAACACACATAAAACAAATACAATCGAATTAAAAAATGTGTCTGAGGAGTGATTCGTTCTGCCGTCACTTTAA